TGTTGTTTGGGCGGTTTTCGACGTCGCCGAATTGTTGCTTAGACCCTGATGTGTACGTGGGTGCTAGTGGCTGGCTTCTATTTTGCCGAGGTCGTTGAGATTGATAAAAGTTTTATGTGAATTTGAAGACTGTTGGTTATTTTTTTCTTTGTGTTACTGTATTTGGTGATTGACAAATGTTGTTTATATATGGTGTTCTCGAATCTTTATTTGTCATTTTATATAATGTGAATATAATGTGAATGTTACTTGGATGTTGGTTAGTCAGTTATCGTGTGCTGTCTTAATGATTTTAACCCATTCACCACAGTTTGACGAGTACGTGGATGAAATATGGAAAGGGTTTAGAGCGTGAAGAGGAATGCGAAGATTCAAAGAAGAGAGGTCTTTCTAAGGCAAAAATGGATATCCTGCTTTTGTTTTCGTGTGAGGTCTTCCATGGCTTTCTAAGGAATATGTGCCTTGAATCTTTCAAATGTCGTGCATTACACAGCTGCTAATGGCAGATCCCACTGGATCATTGTTCTGACGAGAAATAGTATTGTAACATGTATGTGTTTTTGTAATGCGTTTCTTTGATGTTTTTGACGTGCGGTGTATCTAAATCGACCCGTTCTTGCTTTCTGTGTGATATTTTCTCCATTTATTTAGAATTTAGGTGGAACTGGTGTTGTTAGCTCACTACACGTAGTAAATACAAACACCGTTGTTCGGTGGTCAATATTGAATAAAATCATCCGATTAGGACAAAGTAATACCTCGCATATTGATTTTTTTTTAAAATTCCATTTTCCTAAGATACCTGGATGTTCGTGCAACAATCCATGCCTCGTGCAGTAGTGTATATGTCTTTGTTTGATCCAACCCTTGAACTGACTGCTGTGGACAATTAATTAAATCATCATTGATTTGCTGTTATCATGTGTATTATTTTTTACAGGTAATGTCATTTTCTAAATGTATACGTCCTGGAGAGAGAAAAAATCGCAATGGGAATACGGGAAAATGAAATTTGGCTTCAGAGCTTCCGATTGCCTTACTAACAAGGCCGAGGGGTAAATCGTTGGAAGAACAATAAAATTAACAGATACATTTGCCGAGCCAAGTGTAGACGCCTTTCGACTGGCTTTGTGGAAACAGCCTTCGACGTAATCAATACCAGGATCTACGAAATCACGGTTGTCTCCGAAAACAACTGGAGAATAGAACTACTTCATAAAAACATAGAGTTGTTTACAACGGATTATCTCGGTATCGTACGGGGATCTGCTCAGTCCGGCGGTTGGCCAGGAATTACGTACAGCTAATTCGAGAGTGTTCGGACACTCAGCACGTCCAAACAGGTCACGGATTAGTTCTGGTCTCGTTTCGTTGGACATGGGCAGTGGCTAGCGCCTGTACGTTAGTCGAATCAGCTCAGGACTTGGCAGTAAGAAGTGGACTTGCCTACCTGTCGAACGCACCTTTAGTATCTGCCGTGACAATGGTAAGTGTATATAAGTATTTTCTCACCTGAACAGGTGTTACGTTAAGAACGTACACATGTAGTATGAAAATGTCCGTTGTTGCGTTCTCAATAACTTTTGATTTTATCTGTATGACACCCTGACAGAATCAATTCAGTACATAGCTTTGTATTGTCATAATGTACATATCTAATTGTCATAAATCACGTGACATGGTGATAAGCGACGACAGGTGTTCGGATTGACTGACTAATTACATAGGCCTGACTTTCATTAATTATATACATGCATACCGGTCATCTGTTAGCCGTGGTCAGTCTATAGGAACGGACCGTAAAGCTACAAAGCACGTGTGGGTCTCCAGCGCATCTCATCTCCATCGCTCATTCGCATATTTATTACATATAGACGTACACACATGAATACCTATAAAATGTTTATCTGCTTTTTATCGAACGGAGCACTCCCGGGAAAACACACGGCGGTGTACATATATACCGGAGATGTAGAACTTTAAAACTAGAACGGACACCAGTATTCTACATCGGTGTTTTTTCTATCGTTCATTGCTGTCTTTCAATATAGTTTAGTAGTAGAAAAACGTAACCATGAATGTTGTAAATAGAACCTGTTCGACGCATTATATAGTCATTCGTCAGTCAAATCACGTTTTGTGAAGTAATTGAGGTCAGATCATGTAATGAATAGTTTTATTGGTCATATCACGTTGTGTTCTGTTATTTTAGTTATGTGTTATTTGACAGTACTTGTACTGTGAAGTTAATATAATATTTAACAGACCATTTAATCTGTAACAAATGTGAAAGTTGAAGGAAAGGGTCATTGTGAGTGTGTTAGGTTGTTTTTGGTTGGTTAACATGGTCTATAGTATGTGTAAAATATCGGGCAGAGCACGTGATCTAAAGTTAGTTTGTTACTAGGAAGATTACATGGTCTATTTTGAGTGTGTAACCAGACAGAGCACGAGGTCTTTTGTTGTTGTGTTATATAACGTATCACGTGGTCTATACTTATCGTATTTTCTGACAGATGATTCGTTCTAAATTAAGTTTGTTATCGGGCATGTCACATGATCTATAGTCAGTGTGTTATGGAGCATTTCACGTGGTCTATCGTTAAAGTGTTATTAGGCAGATCACGTGATCTATTGTTATTGTGTTATCGGGTGGATCAGGTTATGTATATTTATGATGCTATCGGATAGACCACGAGGTCCATAGTTAGTGTGTTATCGGATGGATCACGTGATCTGTAGTCAGTGTGGTATCGGACAGATTCACGAGGTCTATAGTTAGTGTGTAATCAGGCAGATCACGTGATCTATAGTTAGTGTGTTATCAGGCAGATCATGTGGTTTATAAATAATGGATTATGGGGAAGATCACGAGACATATAGCTCATGTGTAAATGGGTAGGTGACATGGTTTACAGTTCGTGATTTATGTTAGAAAAAAAGGTCTATAGTTAGTGTGGTATCGGTCATATTAACATGGTATATAGCTAGTGAGTTATCAGGCAGACCACGAGGTCTATAGTCAGTGTGTTATGGGGCAGATTACGTGGTGTATTGTTAGTGTGGTATCGGTCATATTAACATGGTATATAGCTAGTGAGTTATCAGGCAGACCACGAGGTCTATAGTCAGTGTGTTATGGGGCAGATTACGTGGTGTATTGTTAGTGTGTTATCGAGTAGATTACGAGGTATATAGTTAGCATGTTATCGTGCAGATAACGTGGTCTATAATTGATTTAATTGGGCATACCACGAGGTCTATAGTTTGTGTTATGGGACTGACCACGAGGTCTATAATTTGTGTTATTGGACAGTCCACGAAGTCTATAGTTAGTGTTTTATTGGGCAGATCACTTGGTCTATAATTAGTGGGTTAGGAGGGAGATCACGTGGTCTATAGCTATCGTGTTATCTGTCAGACGACGGGGTCAATAGTCAATGTGTTATGCCACAGATCACGCGGTCTATAGTTAGTGTTATTGGACTGATCACGAAGTCTGTAGTTAGTGTGTATGGTTCTGATCACGTGGTCTGTATAGTTAGTGTGTTATCGTACATATCACGTGGTCCATAGTCAGTGTTTTATGTGGCAGACCACGAGGTCTATAGCTTGTGTGTTATAGGGCAGATCTCGTGGTCTATAGTCTGTGTTATTAAACAGACCACGAGGTCAATTGTTTGTGTTATTGGACAGACCACGTGGTCTATAGTTAGTGTGATTTAGGACAGACCACGTGGTCTATAGTTAGTGTGTTTTGAGGCAGACCACGAGATCTATAGTTAGTGTATTATTTGGTCAGATCACGAGGTATATAGTTAGTGAGTGTGTTATTTGGCAGACCACGATTTCTACAGTTTGAGTGTTATGGGACAGATCACGTGGTATATAATTAGTGTGTTATTGGGCAGATCACGTGGTCTATATTTAGTATTATTTAGCAGACCACGATTTCTATAGTTTGTGTGTTATGGGGCAGATCACGTGGTCTATAGTTAGTGTGTTATGAGGGAGATCACGAGGTCTAGAGTTAGTGTGTTATCGGTCAGACGACGTGGTCTATGGTCAGTATGATATCGGACATATCAACGTGGTATATAGCTAACGAGTTATCAGGCAGATCACGTGGTCTATTGTTGGTGTGTTTTCGAGTAGATCAGGTTGTCTATAGTTTGTGTGTTATAGGGCAGATCATGTGGTCTATAACTAGTATTATTGGGCAGACCACGATTTCTATAGTTTGTGTATTATGAGACAGATCACGTGGTCTATAGTTAGTGTGTTATCGGCCGGACCACGAGGTCTATAGTTAGTTTGTAATGGGAGAGGTCACGTGATCTATAGTTAGTGTGTCATTGGGCAGGTCACGTGGTCTATAGTTAATGTGTTATGGGGGATATCACGTGGACTGCAATTAGAATTAGATTGTATGTTGATGTAGGTGATGACATCTATATTGTAAAGATCGATTTTCTTTGAAATTTTAATCAATAGCAATCAACTTTAATTATCGATATATGAGATATAAGGTCATTACGTAGTGTCTATTAAAATACAGTAACATACTGTTTGTTGTTCGACCACGTGTTCTATACCAGGCCATTATTGGTCAAACCTTGTGTAGTTTAGTCTATAGACCGTTCTTTCAACACAAACGAACACAGACGATGTGAGGTTTGAACATTGCGGCATTCCGAGGGTATAAGGATGTTGCGGAAGCTGGATCAATAAGTTCCCGCCACAACTGTGTAGTAGTACGCGCGCCTAACACCACACACGACACAAAACACACAGCACGGATTCAATGCGGAATTTGATTTTAGAGGGACATAGTCACTTGGTATATATCCCAGTATATGTTCACTCGGAGAATAATCATCATACCCTGAGTGTTGTGTGATAACATAGTCACTTGGTATATATCCCAGTATATGTTCACTCGGAGAATAATCATCATACCCTGAGTGTTGTGTCATAAAGGAAAGATATCTAACTTGTTTTCAAATACGAGTTGCTGACTGGTACACCAATGTCACACCAAAATATTCAGGTAAATGGACTTTAATTCTCGTACTGCCTATCACTGGAAAATAGCGACACTGATTTATATATATATATATATGTGTGTGTGTGTGTGTTTTTAAAAAAAAATGTTTAGACTAAAAGACAAAGTGTGCAACACGCTTTCGAGATAAAGTTTAATTTAGTACCCGCGACTTGTTGAAATTTTGTTAATTTGAAATTTGTAACTTTTATGTGATATTTAATTGAAGATGTAAAACAAATCTTGCTTACTACTTTATTTGTCAACTGTGGTTTCATACACATTACAATTATTCCACTTGAATTACACCGTGGTATGATAAATGGCTACCTTTGTAAAAGGAGATTAACCTTTAATTTGTTAATCCTGTCCTTTTCCTAGCTACCAGACTTAGAGGTACTTTGTATTTGTCCAACCATGACGTGTGGTATTGTTATGATACAAACAAGGCATGTTTCCAATGTTGTGTCATATAACACATATTCTTATGTGGTTTAGATTTCATTCAAGCTCTGATATTAATATTTCTTAATTTCAAGCTGATACATATTTATATACAAATGAAAGAAAAAGATTTGCAAACTGAAGAAACGAACACAACGAACAATCAGAAAACTACATTTTGCATACAAAAACCGAAAAAAATATTACTCGCCTATCGAAGAAAAAATATTAGAAAAAATGTTTACGGACTATATATATGATATTTGAATATTTTTCTTGTAGGCTGAGCAACTAACAGAAGAACAGATTGCAGGTAAGGATTGCAAAATTACAGTATCATGACAGGAATTACATAGCCAACGTTACTCAGTTTAAACGTATAAGTATCATTCACACTTCCAGTGGCGTCTGTGCTAAGTCATTTTTTACAAGCATTCTTCGTGTGTTAATGTAGGAAAAAAATGTTTTCTGTTTTATCTGCCTATTGTAATTATTTCTTTATTGTTTCCTGTGTACTTATAAATATCGATCGATGTAAGGTTAGTATGATAGATGAATATACATATGTATGTATATATACTAATGTTTAATGGTTCGGTGTAGCGTGATAATAGCCATACGTTGTATTAGTAATTCAGGAACGATAACCCATTCAAATTATAGCCACGTGTTGTTATACAGACTTGTAAAATTTAGTCAACAAGATTATTATTCGGGGCGATTAAATATTTAAAAGGAGTATTGAACTGTATTTAAGAAGGATTGTACAGAAAATATTAGCACCTTTAAAACTTGTATTTCACGTCCAACGTAAATGTTCTGTAAGGGTATGTTTAATTTCACAATGACAGGCTAAAAACTGTAGTTGAATTGAAAAAGTACACTATATTGATTCAGGAATATTAGTAAAAAGTAAAATAAATAAGAGATTAAATAAACGTGGTTTATTTTCATTTCTTATAGATCGGTCACATTGTAAAAACTCTTTCATCAACATTGAAAGCTTTGCATGTTAATATAACGCCAACACGTGGTTCCATGTTTGCACTTTTGGATTGGCGATATATCGATGACGTAATTTTATTTATTGTTATTTGTTGTAAGAGGTTACATATAACTGAAACGAACTATTCAGAAGTCGTTTGATGAGTGTATACATTTCTATCTAGAGTTTACGTTCTAAACGGAAAAATATTCTCTAAATTCCGAATCCACATTACTAGGATCTTTATTGTATTTTCTTGTTAACAGAGTTCAAAGAGGCATTCAGCCTTTTCGACAAAGATGGCGACGGTACCATAACAACCAAAGAGTTGGGGACAGTGATGAGATCACTCGGTCAAAACCCGACAGAAGCCGAGTTACAAGACATGATTAACGAGGTTGATGCTGATGGTAAGTTCCCTTTTGGGTTATTTTGATTGAAAAGTATTCACATTTTATAAGCTTCAAGGTACAAAACACATTCTCCTTGACTCGGGGCTGTGAGAAGCCATGTTCACGGGAAATGAGTTTTCCCCAGAGTTACGGTATAAAACACCAGACCAATTTTTGTTTGGTGCACTTGGTTATCCATTTTCTAGACAGATGCTAATCCAATTCGTTATGTCATGACAGTTTCCGAATACATTCTCTCCGGTGTTGTTTCCCCACAGGAAACGGAACCATCGATTTCCCAGAATTCCTCACAATGATGGCAAAGAAAATGAAAGATAACGATTCTGAGGAAGAGTTGCGAGAAGCATTTAAAGTGTTCGACAAGGACGGAAATGGCTTTATCAGTGCAGCCGAACTTAGACATGTGATGACAAATTTAGGAGAAAAATTAACAGACGAAGAAGTAGACGAAATGATTCGGGAAGCAGATACGGATGGTGATGGACAAGTTAATTATGAAGGTAAGCATAAAACAAATGTGACTTTGAAATCGCATTTAATCGGGAACTTGGATTAAAAAATGGATCTTAAAGGGCGTTATTTTGGAATTCGATAATCTTGAAAACTTTCATTTTTAACCTCTCCAACTTAAAAAAACCCAATGATTTGCTTCTTTTCGCCCGAAAACATTTTTATTTTATGCCTCTTCTCGTTTTAGTTTGAGTCTAAATGGAATCAAATGTTCCAAATTATAGCAGAAAGTGTATATATCCATTTATTGAAAGGTCTGACCGTGAAAGACAAAGACAATTAGTATTAGTGTGCTGATATAAGCCAATATATATATAAAATAGAAAACATTCCTGTGTTTGAATGTTAAAAAACCTTTTTCCGTATAAGATTAAGACATTTAGTGTATTTTATGTACGGACTAAAATATCTAGTTTTAGTTGCATACAGCTTTACAAACTTAATGTACGTTGTCCACAGACTTACATATTTAGTGTACATTGTGTACAGACTAACATATTTAGTCTACATTGTGTACAGACTAACATATTTAGTGTACGTTATGTACAGACTAACATATTTAGTCTACATTGTGTACAGACTAACATATTTAGTGTACGTTATGTACAGACTAACATATTTAGTGTACGTTATGTACAGACTAACATATTTAGTGTACGTTGTGTACAGACTAACATATTTAGTGTACGTTATGTACAGACTAACATATTTAGTGTACGTTATGTACAGACTAACATATTTAGTGTATATTGTGTACAGACTAACATATTTAGTGTACGTTGTGTACAGACATTTAGTGTACGTTGTGTACAGACATTTAGTGTACGTTGTGTACAGACATTTAGTGTACGTTGTGTACAGACATTTAGTGTACGTTGTGTACAGACATTTAGTGTTATGCCTTTGTTTCACCAAAACATCATTGTATATATACTAGACTTAAGCAGCTAGTGTAACTACTGTCTGCAATAGACTGATACACCTAATTAAGTTTTGTCTATATTAGACTAAAACATTTAGTGTACTTTTTGTCTGTATTAGAATAATGCATTTAGAGTAATTTCTTTTAGTATCAGACGAAAACATACAGTTAAGATATATCTATATTAGACTAAAACATTTAATGTAATTTCTGTGTGAATTAGGCTAAGGCATCTAGTTACGTTGCGTCTATATGAGACAAAAACATTTAATGTAATTTCTGTGTGAATTAGGCTAAGGCATCTAGTTACGTTGCGTCTATATGAGACAAAAACATTTAATGTAATTTCTGTGTGAATTAGGCTAAGGCATCTAGTTACGTTGCGTCCATATGAGACAAAAACATTTAATGTAATTTCTGTGTGAATTAGGCTAAGGCATCTAGTTACGTTGCGTCTATATGAGACTAAAACATTTAATGTAATTTCTGTGTGAATTAGGCTAAGGCATGTAGTTACGTTGCGTCTATATGAGACAAAAACATTTAATGTAATTTCTGTGTGAATTAGGCTAAGGCATCTAGTTACGTTGCGTCTATATGAGACAAAAACATTTAATGTAATTTCTGTGTGAATTAGGCTAAGGCATCTAGTTACGTTGCGTCTATATGAGACAAAAACATTTAATGTAATTTCTGTGTGAATTAGGCTAAGGCATCTAGTTACGTTGCGTCTATATGAGACAAAAACATTTAATGTAATTTCTGTGTGAATTAGGCTAAGGCATCTAGTTACGTTGCGTCTATATGAGACAAAAACATTTAATGTAATTTCTATCTGTATTAGATTCAGACATTTTATTTAACTTGTTCCTGTATTAAACTAAGACATCTAGTTACAATGTGTCTACTAGACTAAAACACGGAGTGCAATTACTGTCTGTATTAGTTAAGACATATATGTAGGTGTAACTGGTGTCCACATAAGACATTATGAAATGCAATACACATTTAAGACGTGTCTGTACATTTAGTGTAAGACGTTTGTAAGACAGATGCCTTTTATACTGCCGATATATGTATAACAATGACTATTGTCAAGTGACGAAAATCAATAAAACAGGCCTTATATCGCTTGTTAGGCTGCAGCAGCTAAAATTGAATGATTTGTCACTCTACAAGTGTACACGAGGAGCTGTTTGATTGGCATCGGACTTCTCAGAAACTTTTCGGTCGACAGAAAAGCGGTTTGGTTTGTCATGAATCTAAAACAGGCAAGCTTTTTTTATTGATGGAATAAGAATTGTTTCAGAAGTATGTTCAAGGAATCTGCATTGTGTTGAATACAAGGACACCCGAACTTATTTATCATTAATAAGCTCGATATTCCGTGAACACTCATTCAATAAAGAATCTCCATGCATTATACTTGCAAGTTATTGTTTTCCTGCAATGAATTATTAAAACAATAATTTCGAACGACATCGGAAATCAATGTATTTAGGTAGTAACACTTTTATTCTTGTCAGATAATCATTTTCTATGGTATATCGAAGGATGTTTGTGTCCGAATTTAATAATGATATGAGATAGTTAACTACAGAGGGCGATAAAAATCCATACCAGTAACTTAGTACAAAAGAAAGCAGTTGAAATATAAAATAAAAAATGTTGTATTATCTTAATTCTGCCTTAGTTTGTCTTCTGTAGAATATATTTAGAGATATTATTGAAGCACTGAACTTTGGTGTTATGACATTTACAGGTATTTTCGATATACATGTCAGAATTAATTGTGCCTGCTCTTTGTTACCTTCAAAACCGTGGCATTTATATCGACCATAAATGCCAAAACAAGACACTTCAGTGTTAATGTTTTACAGTCCTTACCCTTTTTGTTTCATGCAACATTATTATTATTTCATTTTATTTAAATCAAATGTTTAATTATCGACAATTATGGCCAAGTGCTAGGTGGCATTAATTATATAACACGTATTTCTGGTCCTTTAACACCGTGACATAGCTGTACAGATATAAATATAAGTTTATGATATATGTTTTGTTTACATTACAGAATTTGTCAGCATGATGTCTACCAACAAATAGGAATGAAATTGACATCTGTTTCCGTTTTCACCTGTTTTTCTTATCCATGTTGGAGGTAGGACTACGTTGTCTTTTCGTTCCGTCCTCGAGACCACGGTGTGTTTTGGAAGTGATCCATACTTTCTGAAAGACGATGATTATTGTTTGCAGTATATCGGGAAGCAACTTGATAGGGGATATACAGTTGTAATTTGTCCGGAATTCGATTAATCTTTCTAAAGCTGGACATATTGTCTTTCATACCAAGGATTCGAATTTGGGAGTTTTTCCATCTGTTATATCATGCATGCAGTCAGTACATGGTGTGTACGTCATTTCCTTCTTAATATAAATATAAAAAGTGTTTATGAAAGACAATGTAGTTTATAACCGGAAGTTAAAGGCGTTCGTTAGTGCCTGGGAGCGGGTTTGTGAACATCATGCGGATAAAAAGAATGAATTGATTGAACCGGATTTTGGGAATTACTACTCTGCGATCGGAAGTTTAATGATTGAGACTTGTGTTTGAATCTTCGAAATTTGGACAGAAAAACCTAACCACACACATCAAGGACAAATGATGGTGTCCCGATCTTGATAAAACGCTCACAGTTTTTTTTCTTCAATTTTATTCCAAGATTCTCAACAAAATAGACAACCTTAATTAAAATAAACATCATTACCCACCATTTTTAGTGCTGTAAACGAGAATTTGGTCACGTGACAAAGCGTTAACTCTTCCATATTCATTTAGACGAAGGATTCTCATTTCTAAAGAAAAGCATTAGCTATTGAATGTGTATTGAAACAGACTTGAAGTCACCATTTTAGAATCTGCATAATAAAGGGCTGTGTGTCCTATCTTTGGCACCTGTTGTTGGTTTTTTCAAATGCATCTTTCTGCTACATCTTTTAAGTAGCATGCGTAGTCAGAACGCCATCTTACTGTTAATGCATTAGCCATTAGATGGAATTTGTACAATGACTTTTCTATAGGCATAGCTCAAGCTTAAATGTTGTTTATAGTTTCCATGAAAATTAAAGTTTAAAGCGACTTCTTGTCAATCTTTGTACAATCTGTATTCCGGGGGAAAAATGTGTAAAACATATTTTTTGTAAGAACATCGCGCGCAATCGATTTTCAAAACAGCAAATGGAACCAGGAGAGTGTTTAAAATATTAAACAACCAAGATGGGAGTTTTTGTTGATAATATATAAAAATAACCATTATTGGAAAAAGTTGTATGGAAAAAAACACGCACATGCACAAATCTAAACGAAAACTTTACGCATGTATAAGTCAATCGGAATGCTGAAATTGGATGGAAGAAAGCACGCACTACGCTTAGTGCAATTATCCCGAGCAACGACGATGATGCCGGACCGTCACAGGAAACACTCCAATATCCTGGGCTGCTTTCTGTGCTCAATCGCCTATTTTTTTTTACCTGTAAATCAATATATAATTAATTATAACACGCAGTAACACAGCATTATTACGTCGCAAACTAACTTCCTTAGAAATTTTTTTTTTTGAATTTTCTAAAACCGTTCTAACGGGCATCTCAATCAGAATATTCTAGAAACATTTTACTTAACCAGTTTAGTTAATTTCGGTAAGACAAGTCATATTTTACTTTATCGCTCCGTCTTAAAGAAAAGAACACCGAAGTGTAAAGGACCTGTCGGTAAGACTTCAAATCCATCACACATTTTTGGGTTTAAGTCAACACTTATGTGCATTTTCCACCATTAAAATAGGACGCATTCATAGTATATGTGTCTTTAGGGGAATATTGGCATGGTACCACAAGTGGCCTTGGAAAGCCATCTCGTTGCACGAAGTATCGTTTGTGTCGATTTATACATTTGCGAGAGGTCACGGCCAAACTAAAACAGACATTTTTCCTACAAATACTCTCACTATATCTGTTAAAAAGTAACCCTATTTAAAGTTTGTCGATAAAACATCAACATGATTATGTTTTTCTTTATTCGCATCAACGCCTTTACAAAACTACACTGTCTTAGTGTGAAATATCCTGCCTGGGTGTGATATACACAGTCTGAGTGAGATATACACTGTCTGAGTATAATATTTTCTGTCTGAGTGTGATATACACTGTCTGAGTGTGATATACCCTGCCCGAGTGTGATATACCCTGCCTGAGTGTGATATACCCTGTCTGAGTGTGATATACCCTGTCTGAGTGTGATATACCCTGTCTGAGTGTGATATACCCTGCGTGAGTGTGATATACACTGTCTGAGTGTGATATACACTGTCTGAGTGTGTTCTACACTGTCTGAGGGTGATATGTCCTGTCTGAGTATGATATACACTGCCTGAGTGTGATATACACTGTCTGAGTGTGATGTACAATGTCTGAGTGTGCTATACACTGTCTGAGTGTGATATACTCTGTCTGAGTGTGATATACCCTGTCTGAGTGTGTTCTACACTGTCTGAGGGTGATATGTCCTGTCTGAGTATGATATACACTGCCTGAGTGTGATATACACTGTCTGATTGATATATACACTGCATGAGTGTGATATACACTGTCTGAGTGTGATATACACTGTCTGAGGGTGATATGTCCTGTCTGAGTATGATATACACTGCCTGAGTGTAATATACACTGTCTGATTGATATATACACTGCCTGATTGTGATATACACTGCCTGAGTGTGATGTACAATGTCTGAGTGTGCTATACACTGTCTGAGTGTGATATACCCTTTCTGAGCATGATATACATTGCCTGAGTGTGATGTACACTCTGTGAGCGTGATATTTCCTGTCTGCGTGTGAAATACACTGTCTGAGTTTGATATACACATTCTGAGTGTGATATAAAATGCCCGAGTGTGATATACACTGTCTAAATGTGATATACCCTGTCTGAGTGTGATATACCCTGTCTGAGTGTGATATACACTGTCTGAGTGTGATATACCCTACGTGAGTGTGATATACACTGTGTGTTCGGATTTGTACTTTGCCTGAGTGTGATATTCGCTGTCTGTGTGAGATATTCGCTGTTTGAGTGTGATATACACTGTCTGAGGGTGATATACACTGTCTGAGTGTAATATTCCCTGTCTGAGTGTGATATACACTGCCTGAGTGTGATGTACAATTTCTGAGTGTGCTATAAACTGTCTGAGTGTGATATACCCTTTCTGAGCATGATATACACTGCCTGAGTGTGATGTACAATGTCTGCGTGTGCTATACACTGTCTGAGTGTGATATACCCTTTCTGAGCATGATATACACTGCCTGAGTGTGATGTACACTCTGTGAGCGTGATATTTCCTGTCTGCGTGTGAAATACACTGTCTGAGTTTGATATACACATTCTGTGTGTGACATTTTGTGTGGGTTTGTGATTTGTTCTGTCTGAGTGTGATATACTCTGTCTGAGTGTGATATACCTTATCTGAGTGTGATATACACTGTCTGAGTGTGATATACACTGTCTGAGTGTGATATACTCTGTCTGAGTGTGATATGTCTGTCTGTGTGATATACACTGTCTGAGTGTAATATTCCCTGTCTGAGTGTGATATAAGCTTTCTGAGTGTGAAGTACTCTGTCCGAGTGTGATATACCCTGTCTGAGATATACCCTGCCTGAGTGTGATATACCCTATCTGAGTGTGATATACCCTGCCTGAGTGTGATATAACCTGCCTTAGTGTGATGTACACTGTCTGAGAATGGTATTTTCTGTCTGAGTGTGATATACACTGTCTTAGTGTGATATACACTGTCTGAGTATAATAGTCCATGTCTGAATGTGATATACATTGTCTGAGTGTGATATACTCTGTGTGAGTGTGATATACCATGCCTGAGTGTGATATACCCTGTCTGAGTGGTTTTGTATCCTGCCTGAGTGTGATATACACTGTCTGAGTGTGATATACTCTGTTTGAGTGTGATATACAATGTCTGAGTGTGATATAAACTGCCTCAGTGTGATGTATCTTGCTTGAGTGTGATATACACTTTCTGAGTGTGATGTACACTCTGTGAGCGTGATATTTCCTGTCTGCGTGTGATATACACTGAGTTTGATATACACATTCTGAGTGTGATATAAACTGCCCGAGTGTGATATACACTGTCTGAGTGTGATATACCCTGTCTGAGTGTGATATACCCTGTCTGAGTGTGATATACACTGCCCGAGTGTAAAATTTTTTGTCTAAGTGTGACATAAACTTTCTGAGTGTGAAGTACTCTGTGTGAGCGTGATATACCCTGTCTGAGATATACCCTATCTGAGTGTGATGTATCCTGGCTGAGTGTGATATACTCTGTCTGAGTGTGATTGACTTTATCTGAGTGTGATATACCCTGCCTTAGTGTGATATACTCTGTCTGAGTGTGATTTACCCTATCTGAGCGTGATATACTCTGCCTTAATGTGATGTACACTGTCTGAGTGTGATATTTTCTGTCTGAGTGTGATATATCCTGTCTGAGTGTGATATACATTTTCTGAGAGTGATATACCCTGCATGAGTGTGATATACTCTGCCTGAGTGTAATATACTCTGTCTGAGTGTGATATACCTTATCTGAGTGTGATATACTCTGTCTGAGTGTGATGTACACTGTCTGAGTGTGATGTATCCTGCCTGAGTGTGATATACCCTGTCTGAGTGTGATATACACTGTCTGTGTGTGATATACCCTGCGTGAGTGTGATATACACTGTGTGTTCGGATTTGTACTTTGCCTGAGTGTGATATTCGCTGTCTGTGTGAGATATACACTGCTTGAGTGTGATATTTTCTGTCTGAGTGTGATATACACTTTCTGAGTGTGATATACCCCGTCTGAGTGTGATATATCCTGTCTGAGTGTGATATATCCTGTCTGAGTGTGATATACCCTGTCTGAGTGTGATATACACTGCCTGAGTGTGATGTACATTGCCTGAGTGTGATATACCCCATCTGAGTGTGATATACACTTTCTGAGTGTGATGTACACTGTCTGAGTGTGATATACACTGTCTGAGTGTGATATACCCTGCGTGAGTGTGACATACACTGTGTGTTCGGATTTGTACTTTGCCTGAGTGTGATATTCGCTGTTTGTGTTAGATATACACTGCTTGAGTGTGATATACACTGTCTGATTGATATATACACTGCCTGATTGTGATATACACTGCCTGAGTGTGATGTACAATGTCTGAGTGTGATATACACTGTCTGAGTGTGATATATCCTTTCTGAGCATGATATACACTGCCTAAGTGTGATGTACACTCTGTGAGCGTGATATTTCCTGTCTGCGTGTGATATACACTGAGTTTGATATACACATTCTGAGTGTGATATAAACTGTCCGAGTGTGATATACACTGTCTGAGTGTGATATACCCCGTCTGAGTGTGATATACACTTTCTGAGTGTGATGTACACTGTCTGAGTGTGATATACACTGTCTGAGTGTGACATACCCTGCGTGAGTGTGATATACACTGTGTGTTCGGATTTGTACTTTGCCTGAGTGTGATATTCGCTGTCTGTGTTAGATATACATTGCTTGAGTGTGATATTCGCTGTCTGAGTGTGATATACACTGTCTGAGGGTGATTTACAATGTCTGAGTGTGCTATACACTGTCTGAGTGTGATATATCCTTTCTGAGCATGATATACACTGTCTGATTGTGATGTACACTCTGTGAGCGTGATATTTCCTGTCTGCGTGTGATATACACTGTCTGAGTTTGATATACACATTCTGAGTGTGATATAAACTGCCCGAGTGTGATATACACTGTCTGAGTGTGATATACCCTGC